GATATTCCATATAATATATTGCAATTTTAAAATAAGAAAAGCATTCTTGAACATTGACTAGAAATTTCAGATAATTACTTCTTAAAAATCAAGCGATTGCTTGCATGGAGTCAAAAACGTGTTTAAATCTAACTTTGTATCCACTTGTGAAAAACATTCGAACAGGCAAGCCCAGCCAAGTCGAGCAAATCGGAACCGCAGATCGACCCGGTAGTAGGATGTACCGGAGAGCAAAGAGTGCAGTCATTGCAATGCACCTCCTAACGAGCTCGCTTTGTTTTGCAGCGCATGCACGCGCATGGTCCATGCAGGTACGGGCTGCGATATATAGGTATACAATGTATGCGCATACGGAATATAAGCGTGGCCAGGTGTACGGGGTGTTCATTAAAAAATAAACTTGTGTTTTTTTTTATTTACTAATAATGTTTAGCTTACGAGAAACGTCGAATAAAAATTGTGGATAGCGTTTAAATTATATAGCTCATATACTATACTGAAAATGAAGATATAAAAGATTTGTTGTATATTTCGTTAAAGAGTTAATCGATGATTACAATAAATTATAAAGTTAAGCTGTATAATTAAATTATTAATTAAATAACAAGACGATTATAGAGATCCTCCTAAATAACAAAAATGAACAAAAGATGCAGCATTATTTTGGAATCTTAATTCCTCATGCCTGGGTGAATTAATTTAATGTCTTCTCACCCTTTGCTTCATATTCTGTTTATAGTGCACGTATCAAAGTGTTATATTTTCACAGCTGTCCGTATCGCGAAAAAAATACGAGATACATGGATGACACCCGGTATATTACCGTAGGGTATATAGAGGTGTATAGATAGGGAGACAGAAGGGAGACCGGTTCCATACATGGCTTCCGAAGGCTTCCTTTTCTTGCGCTAAGACTACAAGAGAGACAAGCATCAGCAGCCGTCTCCACTAATGAGATGGAATTGGACGTGGCCGAGATTTTTCTAGACTCGTTCACGGGAGCGAATCAACTGGATCTTCAAGCATGCCCGTCACCATCTAGTTCGCGACATTCCCGTGAGCGCGATCGGCGGTCCTCTTTGATACGAATCGTTTAATTGCGTCCCATTAGCCCGGCTTCGGGTGTCCCCTTAGGTGAATACGACCAGGAACGAAAGCTGAAAGCCGCTCCAATGAGGGTCTTGGTCTCTACTTTTACTCTTTTGTTTCTGCCTTCACTTACTATCGTACGCTCTCGCTCCTCTTCATTCTCTGTTCATTTGTTCTCTGCTTTTCTTCTGGCCCTTCTTCGTTCCCGTAAGCTAGAATCGGCGGCACGATGGTACGCGAGAGGCATCATCCAACTTTTTCTCGCCGGTACGCTGACGGTTCGTTATATCGGGCCCGCCATTGGAAGCTCCGGTACGTGATGTGACGCCGGCGGAGATGGCGACCAAACAGGCCCAACCTACCACTTTTTCCAGCAAGGGACCAGAATACCAGGTTTTCGAAAGGCTGTATTCCACCCCTTCTGCCTCCTACGGCGCGTGTAGGCTATTGCTATCCTGCGTGGTCCAGAATTCTCTCCTTGAAATTGCCGATCCACCTGGAATGGGTTTTCCTGAAACTGAAACGGTTAATTTCACCAATATTCGTTTCTTTTTTTTTGTATTTTTGGCAATACGACAACAATTATATGGAAAAGGAAACAATAATTAAAATACTTCTTCTGAAAGAAGATCTTGATTTAAGTGATGTTTGTATAAAAATATAATAAATTAATAATAATTATTATGTTTTTATATGGAAAATATGTATTCAGCGCAATTTTGTAACATAGTAATAAATGGATAGTACAAATAGAAATCAGCAGTGGCTCGTGCGGTTTTCCTCTTTTATCTCTTCGTCGTTAACGATGCGTAACCAAGCTACTGCGATGAAGCTATATATTGAACGCGTAACGAGCATATCTATAATCAGAATGGATAATTTATTCTGTTCTATACATGTCTCATTAATCTTAATTATCATTTATATAACGTCAATAGATTATAAGCTCTACTAATGACGGATCAGTTTAATGACGGAATTTTTTCTGAATATTTTGATAATTTATCTTTCATTAAATTTTATATCGCTACTAATTGTACTTTTTACTCAACATATGAATATTTTTTATATAATTCTTATCTAAACAATTGTTTGTTTTGTTATAGGTAAGCATTAAATTCATTTGCACAAGGAAGCCAATATGCAGTCGCATCTTGAGTAAGTAAATATTAAAATCAAAGTTTGTTTTATATTTTTAATGTAAAATAAAAAATACACACAGATGAAAACACATTACGAAAAGTATAATTTAACTTTACACTCGTTAGCTATAAAAATCTAGTGACCAAAGTATCTTTGAAACAACATATATCTACAAAAAAACAAAAATAGTATAGTAATATGTAATATCAAAATTTTCTAAATGATTCAAAATTCTACATGACTGAATGAAGACTGAATGACTTTTTTTTCTCGATGCAATTTATTGAGAGAAACGCTGCGTAAATGCGAATCTCTAGACGGTAGTCTAGACTTTATAAGGGCAAAGAAACCTAGTTCGTTGGTGTTAGGATTACAGTAGCTAGTGAGGATTTATGGCCGCCTTTATCTTAGCACGGTTTCGTTGAACAGTGCAACACGTTGGATCCCATCGGCAATGGGATTATATCGCATAGAAGGTGGCTGCTTGTATCGCATCAAGATAGGTAGATACCACTCTGCCGCTTCTCGCGGTGCACCAGCAATGCCGGCAGCATCAGCAGCAACAGCGATCGTGCCTTAGGTCGACTCACGCTGCATGAGTTCCGTGACGATCGTTCCCTCCGTCCTCATTCCCTTTACAATCCTCCGCTTCCTCTTTATCTCTCTTTCTCTCCGTGCTATACTCTTCAGAGTTTTATTTTCACTCAATTCCGGGAAGTATCGCGTATCATGGCGAAGGGATAACGGGCAGGTGGTGGTGGAAGGAAAAAGAACATGTACACGGAGGACCAGGGATAAGGGAAGGGAAGTAGGTAGATATACTCGGAGCAAAACGAGGAGAGGTAGTTGGGACAGTGGGGAACCATAAAGCATCCCAGTGATTTAATTCTATGCATTCTATGCAATTTCGAAATAATCTTTTGCTTTTCTGTTTAATATGCAGCTTAGATACGGCTGGGATATATTAGTGATTTTAAATATATTTTAGGAAATAAAACAGTCTTATGAAGAAGAGAGAATATGCCATAAAACGCACGATAAATTATACACAAAGCACTATTATTGTATTTCATGTAAAATTTTATTAACTGCGTTATTCTTATTTCTATTAATGAAATTATAGTTGTTTTTATTGATTACAATCACTTATTTGAATTAGATGATTACAATTAGACAGTTTTTCTTTGAAATTTTTGATGTACTATAAAATTTAAATATTTATATCTTACGTAGATGTAAATGAATTCAATGTATCTAACTAATTTGACCTAAATTGTCGTTTTTGACAGACATCGATAATTTGATCGAATGTCCCGAGTAATAGAGTCATTTTCGCCGGCATATCGATCGTCGGTCCCGAGTTAATTAATGTCTAGCGAAGCATTAGATCTCTGTCCGCGGGGCAATGCAATATAAATAATAATAATTTGATCGAAAAATGCCGGAACATCCCTCCGATGATTATCTGCTCGTAAATCCCAGTATAAAGATATCGCGACTAAATTGCCGCGGAAGGGTTTCGAGGTGCTAAGAGGCGCGACAGAGAGGGTTAGAGAAAAAGACAGACAGAGGAATAAAGGTGAACGCACACGTACAGGAGGTATTACCGAAGCGTTTGCCTTGCCTTCGCAACCGTGGCGGTATAGCGATGTGGCGACGATAGTATTGCAATATAGACAGGGCGGCAACAGACCAATCACGCGCCGGCTACTAATTTGCTGGGCTCAAACAGCTGCCGTTCTGCCGCCTATGCGAAACCCCTGGTTTATAAAGCAAGTATATATATACCTCGAATTCTCGATCGAGGATTCGATCCCCCTTGAATTCACGCTGGGATATTCGATCGGCCATGGCCTTCTTCATTCCTTCTCGTGCTCTTATTCGGCCGCGTCGCGCTCTTCTTCTCTTTCTTCTTTCGTCCTGATGCCCATTACCTACTCGTTGCTCAGACAAAACATTTCTTAATTAGGTTTCGTTGGAGGGTGATGTCTGTCCGGCTCTTTTGGGAGCAGTCAGCTTCTACTTGTTCGATTATTTATTGATTTTTATTCTTTTTGTAAGAAACGCATCGTTTACTGAATATATTTAGTTCATGCATTATCAAAATTTTTTTATTAATATTTATTTTTATATATTTATTTTATATATTTATTATATTTAATTATTAATATTTATTTTTTTCTCCTCCATCGTTATTAAATATTAACTGATATATTATTTATTACAAGGATTTCTGTTGTTTTAATAAAACTATTTAATGTATTTATAAAAATTATTTATACAGTATAAATAAACACGTCTTAATATGTAATATGAGTCTTCAGTATTTAGCACCAATTCATGTTTAATCAGTTTGTATCAAATATGACGCAATTTATATGTTATTGAATAGGATTCATGTAGATTGTAGTTGTTCCATTTTAAATTTCATGAAAATTTGCACGATTAAACGATTGTTAATAGTTTTTGCACGACATACCGTTCTCATAATTTATTATGTCTGATGATAGCTCACACAAGTGAAGATGTACGAATAATGGCATCATGAGTACGGTACTCGCTACATAATGAAATCCAGAGGCTAAAAGACTGGTCTTCTGTTCTT